GACCGATCGATTCCCGCGCTGGCAAACTTTGATTGTGGGTGAATTTAACGGGGCGGAGGTAATTTAAACGGGGCCACACGATGAAACAGGGGGGAGTTTTCCCAAACAGGGCGCGCGCGCCCCGTTTGCGCAACGTAGGGAGACACCTGCGTTACATTAATGCTGCTATAACTCCACATCGTATATATATAATATATACTATATATATATATATATATATATATTATATATATAGAGAGAGAGAGAGGAGAGAGAGGATATATATATTACTACTGCTGTACACCGCTGCGCTGGTAGAATCTTGCTACTAATTCATACTACTAATAATGGGACACAATAGGAACATTGGTAAAAATCGACAAATAACATTGCACAGAATATGAATATTGTAGAAATCATTGTAATAAGATAATAAGCATGGGAAAAACTGTTTACGTATGACATATTATATGACAGCACAACCCAACTTAGAACCACTGGAACATAATAGTAATATGGTGTAAATGACAAAAAGTTATTATAACAGCATGTACGAATGGGTGGACTTTTCATTTGAAAACCTCTTGATAAACAATGTTTTTCGGTTATTCTCTGGTGGAAATATGTAGAGATTCCTGCGTCTCGAACTGTTGAGCTCCCACGTACGGCATGCACGTATGGAACGTAAACAGCTGTACGCGAATGGGTTGGCGCTCTCATTTCAAAGCCTGTTGATAACAAGCAGTCGTAACCTTTGAACTGGCCTGTGCTCTGTTTTAGCTCGTGCTCGGTTTTGGGTTTCACAATCGTTTTCGGTTTCGCAGCTGATGGAATGAGATATATATTATCAAGAGTGGATAAATAGAGAAGAGTATGACTCGGTTTTAACAGCGTTTTGCATAGTTTTCAACGGTAAATAATCTATCAATATGTGAATAAATATATTCAAACTTTACCTTGTTTCGTCTATGATTTCTCCCTTAATTCATATGACACACCAATTTACCTGAAAAATCGTATGTGTTCTTCTAAAAAGTCATTTGATACGACACGGTTTCGTACAGTTTTCACGCATGAATGCATCTCTCCGCCGAACTTTCTTATGGGAATTAGTGTTCTATTGTCTATGACGGAACTTTGGGGGTCGTATGGGATATTAGGCATCGAATGTATTCAGCGGCAGCGTTTTCCAGCGTGCTAAAAATAAATGCGCGCTAACGCCAGCTAGCTAGCAGCTGATCCCCTTACGGCCCCCAGCGTACCGTCATAGACAACAGAACACTATCCCATAAGAAAGTTTCGGTCGAGAGATGCATTCATGCGTGAAAACGTGACGAAACCGTGTCGGTATTCAAATAACTTTTTTGAAGAAACACATACGATTTTTCAGGTAAATTGTGGTGTCATATGATTAAGGAGAATCATAGACGAAAACAAGATAAAGTTTGAAATATATTAATTCACATATTGATAGATTATTTACCCAGTTTAAAACTATTGCAAAACGCTGTTAAAACGAGTCATACTCTTCTATTATCCACTCTGATATTATATATATATATAATTATTATATTATATATAAATATATAATATTTATTATATTATGTTATATATTATATATATATATATGTATATATATAATATATACCGAAAATAACAATTTCAGGCACATTTTCACCTTTGTCTTAGAAAAAAATGCCAGATAAGTCTTTCTTGATAAAGATTTAGTGTGAATGACAAGGTCTACCACTTCATAAACGAAGTGCGCAACAAGCAACATAAGATGTGAAGTTGTAGCATGTGAAATATGCGAAGTTTCAAATAATGGAAAATGTGCAAAATTAGGTGATTAGTCTTCTTTCAATGCCAGTTTTTCCCCAAACTCCATGACAGGTGGCGCTGTCGCTCTAGCTCAGTTAGGCTCTGTTACCACTCCCACAAGATTATTGCACCAGGGAGAAATACTCATTTTACATACCAGGGTATTTGGTTATGTTGGTTCGAATCCCATCTGTTTATTTTTTTATTTTTTTATTTTTTAGTTTAGGGTTAGGGTTAGATTAGGATTAGGGTTACGGTTCACAATGCGTGTGTACACATGTGTATTATGGACCCGAGCGATCTCGAAGTTGCGCCCTACTACCATTCGGCTATTTACGGAAAAATTAGTATTTCTCCCCGGTACACGATTCTTGCCACAAGCAGATTTCCGTACGAATTTCTTACGCTTTTTCACTATAAGTTTTACAGCGGCCCCGTTACTCCTGTCCTATGTAATACGATTTGTACTTATAAAAGTTGCAAAGATAATAAAAATCAGACCATTATTTCATGGAAAATTTGATAAAATAGTGATACGAAATAGTGCGCGGATGGTGCGCCAATTTACTACTTTCAAATCATACGCTGTTTACTAAACTAAGTTCACATGTTTATTAAATATTCATCATGAATTTTTTCGATGTTTGCAAAATATACCTAATTCTCGAATATTGTCTTTGATACATGTTTGCGTATTCAGCTTAAAGGCTCAGTCACACATTCAGGATTTTTACTGCCGTCCTTGATAGGACCATTCCCGATTAAAATTTGTCAAAAGTCTGATCAAGATCCTGTGATTCGTGGCGGGAAATTCAAACTTTATTAAAAATTTGTAAAAACATTTATTTAATCACGACAACAATCAGATATTGTTCAGGAAGCGTCCCGATTCAGCCGTTTCCAGCCGAATTCGTCCCGATTCTCCAGTTATCAATCTGATTCTGATCCGATTTGTATCTTTCGCATGGTAAAAAACGACCAAATCTCTCCCGACAGCGTCCCGATTCTCTCGAATGCGATCCGACAGAGATCAGACAGTGACCCGACAGTGAACCGACGCTGACGGAAGACATCCGTTAGATCTGGACGCAATCTGGACTCAATCGGCAAGAAACGGCAATCAAAATTTTCTCCAGGTCATGCCCGCTCATCACGACAGCGTCCCGATCCACAGGACACCGTCCAGACACTGTCCAGACAACACAGGACATTGTTACGATTTTGATCTGATACAGCAGAATCTGTCACGACATAGTCACGATTGTAATCCGACTAGACAAAATCGGCTGAGTTTCCCGAATGTTACGGGACGCACCTAACTGTCGGGAGTGCTTGGCCGACCTCTCCGGACTATTCCCGATCCGTAGGACTCTGTTACGAACGTATACGACTGCGTTCAGACAATGATAGGACATTCCAGATCATTGAGGATAGTAATCCGACTTTTTCACTTTTCGTGTCGTAGCGCTGTCTGATCTCAAACGGGAGCCATAATCGGCACTGTGTGAACGCTGCATTAAACATCTATATTTGTCCACTGACAAACATGAAAAACATGAAACTTTCTGATGTTTTGTTCGGCGTCGACTTTGCGGCCATTGGATTGCCATTCGCTAGATCATAGATATATACAACACATATGTATTGTATATATCTATGGCTAGATTAACCCGGAGCTCCGCCCACTTGAAAAATAGTACCAGCTTTGTGGCAGTGGTATCCTGAGTTGTACGAAGAGGGCACTGCATGCAGGTTTTTTTCTCCAATTCCTGCAGACAAAGAACATGTTTTCTAGCATATATGAATAACAATCTATCTATCAACCCTGAGAAACAATCTTTTAGGTTTTCATGTCTCTACCTAGATAGTAGATATGTTTGCGAAAATTGGTTAGGCTGGGGTCCCAAATGCTGTTCCCCTAGGATAAACTAATACACAGCCTGACAACCATCCATTAGAAAATCTTTTACAGCTATAAGCCCGTTGAGCATGTAATGTGTTTGTATGTTGAGCAACTAAATATATCTCAAGGAAAATATTATCTTGTATTATTTTACTTGTTTGGTATTAACTTTAAACTTTACAATGTTACAATGAAGTATTCCAGCTTTGTTATTATAATTTAAACATTAGCTTGCTGTATAAACTGTAAATTTCACAACGAGGGCAAAATAAATAACCAGAATGCAACCATAATTCGATCAAGACATAGAAAACCCAAAACGACATGAGGTAAACAGTTGAAACCGAAATGCTAATCGCATGTTGGTGCTGCCATGTATTTGCTTTGTCTTAAAATCCACCGTCTGTCGATTTCCAATTTTAGTCCAACTGACCTAGATGTAAAGGCACTAATTGAATTGCATTGTTTTTATTCACCTCAAAAATAGTGTATAACTTGGTGAATAAGCAGTTCCCAGTAGCACCCAGTTACGCTGAGACTGAGAGGGTCTATGCCCCCCAGGGTACTGTCGGAACGTATCCTGGTACCAGAGCATATAAAATTATAAATCAACGTGATTTATTATTATATGCTCTGCTGGTACTATCTAATATGGCGGACCGTACCTCGCCTACTCCACTAACGAGTCTAGGGAGTCACCTACGCCTACTCCCTAAGTAACCCTAACGGTAACCCTAACCCTAACCCTAACCATATCAGATAGTTACCAGGGTACGTTCCGGTATACCGGACCGTACCCAGGTTACGTTCCGGCAGTACCCTGGGGGACATAGACCCTATGAGCCCCAGGCACAGCGCGCAACCAAATGTTTATTTATTCAATTGCACTATCACTTGTTACAGTTACTGTAGCTGTGTCATTGTTTGGTACCTGAACGAACTATACGGTTTTGTATAGCAACTAGCAAGAGTTAGAAACGGTCTTTCGAGAAAATAGCCATCCCTCCTTTAGAACTTTGCTTTCCTTGTGGCACTGTTTTTTACTTTCCCTAATCAGTGTTTATAAATATTTCTCTAAAAAGTTTTGCTCCTCTACTTAAGGAGAGTTTGACCAGCAGGTAGAGGTGCTGTCTGTCCCAAAATCTCCTCCAGTACACACATAATGGCCTCAGACACATGCATCTTCACGGATTAAAATCATAGTCGAAGTATATATATATATATATATGAAACTTACCGAATTCATAGCAAACATGTTTGAATAATTTTTTTTAAAATTTTGCTGTGTTTGTTTTAGACGTGTCCACTGTTACTGAGAGTGTTTTGCAACACTGGCCGTCATCACCCCCTGGGCGAATATGTGCGAGGAAATGTTCCGTCAAATGAACTGCAGATATACACATGGTAGGTAATTCAGTTGTTTTTAAATATGACTTTTGATTTTGACACTATTTTCTAGCACTACACCAACGATTGCGGTGCAAGTTTGCATGTTGTGGCACTGAAGAATTATTAAAAAGCACGCAAAAGTGCACATTTGTCGTTTTCATAACCTGATAACAGACTAGTCTATAGTAGTCTGTAGTGTTTTACTTGCATGGATGTTTTAATACTATTGTGGTTTCAGTGTTTTATTGGAAGTATCTAAGTTTGAATCAACCATATAATATATGTCATATCGGAATGTTATGTATCATAGATGTTAACAGGTATATACTTCAAATGCGCATAAGTTTGTCACAATTTTACAAATTTATTAACCAAGTTGAATATGTGATTCTATGTAGTGGGCGTGGTTTTGTGTATAGACTTATAATCTGTATGATAATAATTTTGAAATAAACAGGATGGATGCAACACTGAAAGAACTTACTAGCCTTGTAAAGGAAGTAAATCCAGAAGCCCGAAGAAAAGGGACGTACTTTGATTTTGCCATCATCTACCCAAATCCGACACGGCCTGGATACAGGTATGTTTCACAACTAAAAATACGTGACCACAGTGTTAATATTAAAGTTGTAGTCTAGCAGGACTGGTTATTTAATAATGAAATAATATCACATTCTATGAATAGTAGTGAGATGAAGGTAGATGGATCAGTACATCTAGTGCTATTAATAGTTAGTAGAAACTATGTGATACTGCAGCGGTATACACATACAAGTGTGGTGTCACGTGTTTTATCCTTATTTTGTATGTATGCTTAATTGATACACAACTTGTCCTTTAGCTGCTTACTAATTACAGTTAAACCTGTATATAGGAGTCATTCAAGGGAAATGGCAAACGTCATTTAGAGACAGGTGTCCATTTTATGAAGGTTATGTGGTATTACTGTTTAACTCCCAATGAAGGGAAACACCAAAAGTGCTCTTTAGAGATCCCTTTATATCTACCACTCAAGGGAAATTCCCAAACTGTCTTTCGTAGTTAGGTTGCTGTGTGCGATAGAGGCGACAGCTAACACAGTTGTGATTGTATACGGTTTCTCGCAGAACAAAAGAAATTGGGACAACCTGTTCAGGACAGAAAGGGGCGGATGACAGTGTCACGCTGGCTTCCAAGCGCTTTCAAGTTGGTGACTATCTCAGCATTGCTATCACACCCCCGTCCCGTGGTCCGCCAAGACGGATGGATCGAATGGATCGCATGAGGCCCTATTAGCCTCTATACATATTCGAAGTGAACGCGAAACTTAAGCAGTCTATTTATATTCCCTTTCATTTGTTTACTTCACCACATTATTAGTACTGTGTCTGTCACACATAAATGTTGCATGGTAAATCAGGTAACATTAACCGAATCTATAAATAATTGTACAGATTGGTTACACCGATCACACATTGTGGTTTCAACGTATTAATGATGTTTTGACCATTTTATGTATGTTGGTTAGAAATGGCTGTGCACCACTGGGTTAGAACATGTACCACCTATAAACAACAGGTGCTGCCAACTAAGCAAACATTATTTAAGCCATTCCTTCATAGTGTAGAACTACACTATAACTTTCTGAATACTAATCTTATTCAATATATAGTAAGTATTTTATATTTGCCATTGTCTTCTATTTTTAGGTGAAATTGCAGGTGTACACCAATGACAGTGTTATCTGTCATAGTAACGGTTTAAGCTGTTATCTACTAGCTGGCAGCACAGCACTCGGTGGGGGCTTATTGAATTTTTACACGTTGAAATAATAGTAAAAAAGGTCTTCTGAAGCCTACAGCATTTGTTACAAATACGTAAACGGGGCCTCTCTTTTCTGTCTGAGAATCGTGTCATAGTTGATTCTTTTGGTGCAAGGTTGCTACGTGACATTTCTAAAATAATATTTAGATTACCGTTTTAATTGCGAGTATAATAACATGTTTTTTACTTCACCGTGAATGTAGATTTGTAAGTAATGTTTTCTTTAATGTCATAACAGCTTGGTAATACTGCTTTCACCTGGTCATGCATTCCAGTCAAATTAATATAATCCACTACACTAGTGTTTGGTGCTTGTGTTGTAATGGATAAGGTGGCTGTAATGAAATTTTTCTATTGTGTTTGCCCCTACACCATTCTCTTCATAATTGACAAGAGATTACTTTGGGATGGCACGGGACATTCCAACGTAAATTATTTCCAATAAATAGGTCAGAGGAAGCTGTATGTGAATCAGTAGTAATTCAGTATGCCGCAATATGTAATCTAACCATTATAACAGTTATATATAGTACAACTATGAGTTCCACAAGGAACAGCTGTCAAATTGTTTTTTGTTGTCGTGATGAGAAATTCTATTACCCACGTTAGTATTTGCTCATACTCCTTAATTTGCTAATATATTTCTATTATTTCCGGCAGCACACAGCTAAAAGTAAACCTAATCATATTCATAACCTATTGGGAAAGGTGTTTTTAATTATGGTGCAGATGCTCAGCCAATATACTCTGAAGCCATTTTCAGATATCAATATATATTACTTATCTCTGTACTACATAGCACATGCAGTATTATGAAAGGATAAGTGTACGTGTAGTTTTTTATGAAAAAAAAATTGTGCAAAAATTGAAATGTTTTGACTTTGTGTTTGTGCATGCTTTAGTTGTGTTAACAGCATAACAGAGAGCTTTCTCCATTTGTCAATCTGAGAGCTATTGTCAGGAACCTTGTAAGTAATAATTACATCATAAGTCGAGAAGGTCATAATTTTCAAGTAAAGTGTTGTGCAACAGTTGTGGCATTTTAGACTAATGATAGTCATAACAACTTATCATGTTTCTGACAACAGGCTTCCAGTCTCTATTTGTCGTTTACTTTTCTGATTACATCTTTTTCTCCAACCGTTTTCGTGGTTGGATGACTCATGATAAAGGGTTAATATTTTCCTGCATGTATGAAATTCAGTACTCTGTAACATCTGCCAAGTGTTGACATTCCGTCTTTTTCTGATGCTCGTTGTGGCTTGACTATTTGTTTCTTTAACAAGGTTAAAACCTTACACCACCCACTTCGTGATGTGTTTGTGTGGTTTGTAATCAATCGGTTATTCGATAAATCGCCCACAAAATGTATAATTATTTCGTAGTCAATGATTTGCACTTGACATGTACATCAAAGTTTTCCATGTTTTTTTTTATAAAATTAAATTTATTTTGTAAACATTTACTGTTGACAGTAATTCATAACAGAGTTACATGACAAACATTAAACTAAAGGATTTCAATTGTACTGTTGAAAGAAAGATTTTCTTACCCTAGTAAGAATTTACATGTTTCTCACACATATATACCCGAATGTACTTGCACAGCAAATAGCAAGTAGGTATACTACCTAATACAATGGAGTTTACAGTATATTCACATATTGGCGTTTTGGTATATTTTGATTTTTAGCGTGTAGAGATCATTAACCTTCAGTGTGTTGTGAGATTATTTGCTCTGGGGGTTTTGTTGCGTTTGTGTTTTATATTCCGTTTATATCTCTACACCAAGTCACTGGAAAATGGTACGGTATCATAATGCAGAGAATAGCCACCATTCAGTACTATCAGGAGTTAATAAAGACAAGTTTTGTCTTTATTAACTCCTGGTACTATGTGCCTTTTTGTTGAAATAAGTAGTCCAGGAATCACATTAGTTGTTTTTCGTAACCTTTGTTGGCTCCCAACAAATGGGTTGTCACTAACTGCATTCTAAGGTAATATTCCAATGCAACAACGTTTTTGGCGAGAGCCCTATATATATATATATATATATATATATATATATATATATGACAGAGATATTGTTAAATATTTATTAACTATGCTAAGTAAGTTCTTTGTTGAGGTTTATCGGAGAAAATCATATATTCCACAACGGTACAACAATTTCTGGACGACGCGTTTAATATGGGCACCATATATAATTGCTGTTAGCAAAGCTGCCGTACGTTACATCAGAAATGTACATATATGGTAATGTATTATGATATGTAGCGATGATGTAATGCAGCTATACTGAATCAGGCCACCTTTTAAATAGTCGAGCAATGTACAATACCAGCATGGTATAGTTAGAACATTTATGTAAGCAAGCTAACACTATAGTCACATGGCACTAATCACTGTACACCAAGCATTGCTCGTAACCGTTTCCCGAACTTGCCGAACCGCTTCCCGAACTTCCGGTTTTCCCGAACTTGATGTTTATATTTACTGCGTGTCAGCGGCTGCGCACAAAGGTTTACTAAACAAACTGTGATTGATTCTTCCAATTGTAGTAGACCGCGATGTGTAAATCTTGTGTTTCAGATGTTGTAAGTCTTGAATGTTAACAGTTTTGCCATTAGTCAACGCACATCAAAAGCTTTTGTTTGCTAGCACTTTAAAACGCTAAAAGTAAAGATAAAAAGCAGGCGTTATCCACAGTTTTTTACATTCATTTCTCTAAACATGTAATAATATTATAATGTCAACACTGCGTGTATATGTGTCTACGCAGGTGCAGGTTAAATCTTTTGCACGATATAATGTGTCATAGTGTAGCGTTGTGCAACAATGGGACACAAGCAATTCGATATACGTACAGAGAAAACTCGTAAAAGATATAGGCGAGTATACCGTATACATCGTTGTAACATATTATGACACTTAGAGCTATGCACTTCGTGTTAACGCCCGCTGTGATACTAGTTTGTCACTGATATGATCTAGTTAAAATAAGATGCAACACCTGCCGCAGTTTTTCCCTTCGTGGAAATCCATGGCGTGGCCTGTCGACGGCACACTAGTTATAACAGACTTTCTCGAGCTCCGTGCTTCAATATTAGACACTGTGACATCTTCCAATTGCAGCACAATTATACGTACGTACTGTAAGGGGTGATTCAGTTTTTAGACAATGTGTAATGCATACTTGTACTTCTAGGTGTGTAGAACTGTCATTTGTGCGTGCGTGCGTTCGTGCGTGCGTGCATGTTTTTATTATAGAATGATGTGCATTGCACACGATCGCGCGACTCTGCAAACAGTAAAACCTATTTGCAGGATTACGTTGTAACATCATTGACATTACATTGGATTACGTTGTTCATTGACAACCCTATTCTTGTGACTCAATGATCGACTTCCGAACAAAGCTCAAAGTGTTCAACAAGTTCGTCGTGCCTATTCTCCGGGTAGGGTCGCGTGCACTTTGGGCAGTGGAGGAACCTTTCGTTGTCGGGCGGCGCGCCGTACACGTCTTCCTTATCACTGGTCACGTCCTCGACAATTATGGTGCTGTGACGCGGACTAACGCTGGCAGCGCGAGAGCCGCATGGCGTTGTAATTCGAGGCGAGCTCGTCCCAGTTGCACCGGGTGTGCTGTCGAAATCAAGGTCGTCTGTCACGTATAGACTGGCTCTGGGGCTGAGGTTACACCTGACCGTGACAACAGGGCTCGTTCCTCGACTGACGACGCAAGCCTGTAAAAGATGGAGATAGGTTTAGGTGGTATTGTGTGTGCCAATAGTCGCCAATTATCCGGTATTTCTTGTATTGATTTATAGTTGCAAGTGAATAATTGCATTACACTACAAGACCGTCATGGCAACCGCTGCACCGTTTCCTGAGTATCGTTAGAATCCTGTTATGAACCAAGAACCTTCTCAACGATTGAATCTCGCCATCGCAGTGCATAGCAATCAATATCTAAATTGACCTATGATACATGGGCAGCGACGATCATTCACTTTAAATCCACAACGTTGAAATTCGATTTCCAGGATTCACAATGCATGACTGTCCCCCCCCCCCAAGTAAAGCAATGCAACACTATCATTTATATAAGATTTGCATTTGTATTTTACATAACATTCTCGAATTACAGAAATCGCACGTGGTCTAAAATTATATCCACCACGCCATCACATCCCCATTTCTATCGTTCGTGTGGGAAATATATAAATAGTAGAGCCCGTGATGAATTTCGCTAAAAGAGAGGAGGGGTAAAAAAAAAGTATCACCTAAACCTTGTTATAATAACCCTGCTATTTTATACTGGTTCGGATCTAGTTAATTTTATGCCAAGAGATCACTCGGCCATTTCTATTTAAACACTTATAGTGAGAGCGAAAGGAGGACTGGGCAAACGAACGCAAGAGACTGGGGGACGGTAACATTTTAAAGTGCCTAGCCTTTTACAGTAGTGGCTTGTGCACATCGTATTACAGTAATGTTACCAGGAGTGTATAATAATAGATCTATTATTATACACTCCTGATGTTATTAGGGTAGCTTTTTGTCATCCATCGATTTCGTAATAATACCACATGATAATAATTTCTACGTGGCACTCGTAATTTCGTCACAACACTACAGTCTACAGAGAAGCCATTCTATACGTGTGTGGATCTAGGCCCCTCGTTCGTGGCTGCATACCTGGTTGCTCGCGCTCATTGGGATGTTGTATTCTAATACTGATGAATTGTGCGAGCCACTCCTGCGGAAGCTGTCGCCCGAAGCCGCATACGAACCGGAGCGACGCACCACGTCGTGATCGCGGCCCGTCGGGTAGGCGGCGCTGCGCAAAACGTCACGATGCGCGGAACTGCGCCTGCGTACCTCGTTGTAAGCATCCTCCGCGTCCTGGTAGTGCTTCAGCTATATATAGATATAGACGAATAAAAGCACGACGTTATTACTTGTGCGCGTCGTGCGTAGTGATTAGTTGACGTACTTTGTGTGGGGGGGGGGAGCCGAGAAAATTTCATCAACTCGATTGCAATTACGTTTAGGTACATTGCTGTGTACTAATCGTGTAAATGGCTATTTCTTTATCTTGTTCACTGCTCGACTGCTCTTATTTCGCTCATCCCCTGTTTCTAATACTGCTCACCTATATTCCCCTCTCTCCTGCGCGCGCTCTCTATCCCTCTCTTTCTCTTTCCCTCTCACCTGCTTCTTCTCTCTCTCTCTATCCCCCTTCTCTTTCCCTCTCACCTGCTTCTTCTCTCTCTCTCTCTATCCCCCTTCTCTTTCCCTCTCACCTGCTTCTTCTCTCTCTCTCTATCCGGCCCCCCTTCTCTTTTTGTTGCTATCTCTCCCACTCCCCCTATCTCTCGCTCTCTCTCTTTCTCTCCCTTACTCCCCTCTTTTTTTCTCGCTCACGCTTACCATGTTCTGCATTTGCTCCACCTTCTGCTCCAGCTCATTGGCCTTCACGAGCGCCCTCTCCTTGTCGGTACGCTCCGACTTCCAGTCTTCCATGTAGACGCTAATCTGTTGCTCGAGCAGCGGAATGCGCTCAGCGTCTTCGGCGCGTCTGCCGAGGTCGCGCGAGTTCATCTCCTCAGCACGTCGCTCGTGGAACTGCATTAGCTGCATCTTGGTTGCCGTGTGCAGATCCTGCATTTCTCTGAGGTTGCTCTCGGCCACGGTCACCTCGCGTTGCACCGTCTCCTTTTTCTGCCAGGCAAAACGCCGCGGCGAGATATAAGGAAAAGAAAGGGTCCTACGCTTGATTGCGTTGCGGATTACGTAGGTTGCGGACAACGTAACTTGTAGATTGCGGGGCTATAATCCTATATGACCTCCATTGATTAAATACGGCATGAGCGAAGCACCAGCCGCCATATTATGGTGTTTCTTAATTGCCGTTGCGCGCGGGGAACCTAGTGTACCGATAACGTATATGCGATGTCGCACATAGTCTCCATTATTCCCGTCGCATCGCGTGTTTTGCATCTTTCTCAACTACGTCTCCCTTTTTCCGTCCACGACGTCTTCCTTCTTTAACCACAACGTCGCCCCTTTTCAACCACGATGTCGTTCCTTTTCAACCACGACGTCATATTGTAGTTACTATTGTCTGATTATCTGACTAAGTGCTTTCCTAAAAACAGTACCAAACGATTTGCGATATTCTGCAATTTTAATAATGGCACCGACATCGTGATTAAAAGGTGCGACCTTGCAGTTGAAAACGGTTGACGTGGTGGTTGAAAACGCGCGACGTCGTGGTTGGAAAAGGACAACATCATGGTTAAAAACGGCGACATCTTGGTTAAAAAAGATGACGTCGCGATTGAAACAGAACGACGTCGTGGTTGAGGAAAGACAACATCGTGGTGAATAACGCGCGACGTCGTGGTTGAGAAAGGACGACATCGTGATGAATAACGGGAGACGTCGTGGTTGAGGAAGGACAACATCGTGATGAATAACGGGCGACGTCGTGGTTGAAGAAGGATGACATCGTGATGAATAACGGGCGACGTCGTGGTTGAGAAAGGACAACATCGTGGTGAATAACGGGCGACGTCGTGGTTTTGAATAACGGGCGACGTCGTGGTTGAGAAAGGACAACATCGTGGTGAATAACGGGCGACGTCGTGGTTAAGAAAATATCGCGACCCGACGGCAATTATGGACGAATACTCTGAGCACGCCGCGTGAAGTCACTATTTATTATATGGTCATCATTGATTGGTATCTCTTCGGTCTATTTATAAAGGGTGTCATATCGTGTCATATCCTTTATTATGATTAACTATTAATAAATAATAAAATAACATAATATAATGTAATACTTATTGATAACTAATTAATTAATTATATATTTATTGCCTTAGAGCTAAACCCGGCTTCGCAACCCCACACTAACCTGCATCAAGTTGGCGATCTGTGAATCGATATTAGACTGCGCCGATGAGCATTTCTCCTCTTCGTCGATCTTCACGTGCAATTTCTTCACGTACTCTTTGGTGGTTGTCTGCTCGCGTTTCCACCGCTCGACCATCTATCGGTAAAAAGTGTACATCGGCTCTGAAGAAATAACCTGCGAAGCCGCGTGGGAAGAACACGTTATAGCTCTTTTCATTTCGAGTTGTGCCGACCAATCACGATTACTGACGAGATTTCTGCGAGTGGTCTTTCCTATCTGTTATCACCCTTGTCCTTTCACTTTAATATGGCGCCGGGACTTTCCGATCTGGCTTATAGAAATCATATTGGTTGTTGAAGAATATATTGCCTGAACGTATATGACAGGCGTATATGTTCGCCTGAAATCACAGCGTTTCATAGAAAGGGCCGCGTTCTGGTCAGCAAGTATATAATCGTGCATGATTGTTGGCCGGGCGTATACACGCAAGGGCACCACTATCATCAGGAGTAAGATAATATACCCATATTATCTTACTCCTGCTATCATGATAGTAAAGATATCTGCCCGTGCGCATAGTGAATTGGTTTAGTACAGTGCTGGCGTGAATGCACTGATAAGTGTTTTCTTTGTTGCTTATGCCTATTATTTTTTATGCTCAGAACTATGCTGCGGTGATATTTAGTAATTTAAAAAACATATTCTAACCATATCAATAAGCAGTTTGGAAAGGGCATTTATTTTTTAAGCGATGTGTGTCGTGGTAAAACCTGATACATATTCCATTTAGCACGAAATTGCGCACCCGAATACTCGTTCTTTTTGCCTTGCTATATAAATAGATTCGCAGGTACGTATACATTGAAAACCTACATATCCGCGGCCACGGCCTAAACTGACAAACGGTATACTGTAGGAAGTTCGATTACCTGTACCCCGACCTATAATTGTATAGTGTGTATGTAGGCCGAAGCTGATGCCGTTTGTAGTGTTCTTGGACACGTCCTTATAGGGCATCGTTTGCGGTAATAATACGCAATCTAATTAACATTACGACGTAATTAAATGTTTTTTTACAGATCTCTTATACCCTCTATATATACGCTATATACTACTATATACGCCGAATATTACTCTATATTACGCCAAGTAGTAATACAGACGACAGTGTGAGTGAAAGCCGGATCTATCTGCGTGCAATTTTATGGGCGTCACGAACATTCGTATCAACAAAATCCGGACAAGAGCTACGGGCAGAAATTTGTACAGATATTAAAACTGCTGTTTCCCAATTCATATGGAAAAGAATGCATAATTGCCCCCACATGTTTAATATAATTATATCGAAAGGGAGACAAACAGGCAGGACGTGTTTGGTACCCGGTTGAATAGCATTATATATATATATATATGTATATATATATGTATATATATATATAAGTAAAGTCACACACGCCACGGAATACACGTCATGGAATAATTTGTTGTTTTGAAGAGATGTAATCTCGAAAGCTTGTCAATTAAACTTTAAACACCCTTATTCTATACATTTACTTTGTTTATATATATATATATGTATTTATATATATATATATATATATATATATATATATATATACAATATGGGCTTGTTAGGGCTGTGATTGAATGTGGTTTAATGCATAATATGCGAAGATTCGGCATACATATTAATATCTTGCATCATTCCATAATTCGTTTAGTTTTCCTTGCTTTCCGGGGGTTCCCGGCCTGTACATTAGCAGTATTAGGATCGCGAGCGAGTATATATTCCTAGATGTCATGCACGCTGTCTCGTGCCGCAGGGATGGGAAATTCCCAACCAGGCATTATCTCTGTATACGATAGCTGCGCAACTGATCGTGCGCGTCTGTAGCCACCGCGTGTAGGCGGTAGTGCGTGCATAGGCGTTGTTTGCTGTGGCGTGGGGATTTACGTCCACAGTTCATAGGTCAATCTAAGCGGCATAGGACATTACATTGCATGGGAAATTACCTTCCAGTAATGTACTGTGTTTCAATTTCCGTGATTATCTGGGCCTGGGGTTCCAAGTCACATTCCATCCACTTCATATTATGTGCAGTCCATATATATATTATATATATATATATATATATATATATATATATATATATCAGAAGTAGATAATAGGGAATCTCTATTATCTACTTCTGATATATATTAATATAAGTGAATAAAAAAAAAGTTATATTTTACATATAGGATATTGTAAGGCTCAACTGAGTATGATTGAAACTGACAGGGGGACATGGTGGGGTTTGTAGACTGTTAGGTATATGTGCCTTATCACATCATTTTAACTGCTAACTTCATAGAATCAAATAATGCAAATTCAGTACATTTAAGTTAAACCAAGGTAACTACGGTACATAACTACGGTACTACTACGTACAACCTAGCAGTATAATTTATCTACCTCCTTTATCATTGTTCGCAACTGTGTGTTTTCGTCCTTGAGTCGTTTTGCTTGCGCATTGAAGTCGCACGTGCACGTGAGCTCGATTATGTCGCTGGTCGAATCCTAAAAGTTAAAAAAGAATTATTGTTTCATATGTTGTTGTTGTTGTTGCTGCTGCTGCTGTTGTTGTTGTTGTTGCTGCTGTTGGTGTTGTTGATTTTTTGTTGTCGCGTCGCATCCTTCATTTGCTCTTTGCGCTGCCGCGGATTGGAGATAGTACAGACAGGTTGCTTCGATCTTGTCATACAGTCCCAGTTAAATGAGACTGCCGTGTACTGTTATAAATCGAGCTATCGATCGTTGCCAACGTCTACCGCGTGATTGTTGCTAGGATGTATATTCGTAATCATTTTATTCGCCGCCGCCCGCGAGCGACAAATATTGTGATACGATTCGTCCACGTACCGCTGTCGCTGCCATCAAAAATAGTTTTGATTATCTTGAAAGATTCTTTTTTTACTTTTCAAATAGATATCTTGACGATTATACTAATGCGCTGGATAATCTTGTTGACATTATGGTTTGGTGGCGTTGTGATTATTATTGTGATTAATTTTCTCAAGTTCAGTACATTATAAACCAAATTTAACGTTTCCTTACAAACATATGGACAGTTTTGGTAATCATCGTATCAAATTCCTGGCTCGATCTCTTTTCAACTAAGCTCATAGTGCCCATTTCAAAATTGTTTACGAATGCCACTCTTAGCTATGGTCCCGATAGATTTAGCAAGAAAAGTTCTTAGCTGTGACGTAACGTGATTAAATTCCCAATGGCAGGGTAAACCATGATGTCTTATATTTCAAGCAATTACACAAATACCGTAGCTACAAGTACTGTGTCTCTGTTGGATGTGAAAGGTGCACAGTTTCACAGCGAAATGTCCCAAACCAAATAATGATAAATTAAAATTCATTAATGACCTTAAATTACATCCTCTCTATTTTACTAAACACATGAAATCTTATAAACAGCCAAAGTTTAATGCATTGCACTAAGCCTTTATCAGAAACGTTTATATATATATATCAGGAGTAGATAATAGGGAATTCCCTATTATCTACTCTTGATATATATATATATATATATTCAAGAGCGTATTCAAGAGCGTATAAAAAAGGAGAGCGTACAACGGTGAAATGGTGAAACCATGTTGCAGTATTAGTCGAATTAAGAAACTTTGCCCGTTTTATTTTGACGATTCCTTGCGGTATTATTGATCAGCTGTCCTACCTTGTTAATATAAAACAAACCGCTTGTCCCTACGATGCGCCTACGCTGAGATAAACAGCGGTGAAAATCTTGTATACGCTTCTTTATATACGCTCTTGATATATTGTACTGGGAAAGAGTTGTTGTTTTCTACGCTCCGGCATCGTAGAATCGTATAGAGTTGTAAATTTGTTGATCTCCGCTCCGGCATCGTAGCAGCGTCGAGTTAGCAAATGGTAGCAGATTGTAGCAAAGAGTAAAGACGATGTAGTCGCAGAAATTGTTCTTGAAGACTGACTATATTAGTAAAACACACTACAAATATATATACACGACGCCGACCTAGGCACCCAAGCCTAGGCACCGTGTCTCGTCTACATCTTGATAGGAAAGTCCATGTAATAACTCACGTGTGACCTGGGTAATGACTAACGTCTCTCCTCTGGGTAAATAACAAATTTGTGATCTTTCGTCCGTGTCTATTTATACGTTTCCGAAAACCGCCCGGCGACATTTCAATCCGACCCCCGGCCAATCACCGTCTGGATTAGGGTGCGCGCGGTGGGTTACATTACAATAACAACAATAACTTGCTAGGGTTAGAAGTGTAGACAATTAGTCGCAAAGCCCTAATTAGCCCGCAGCCCTACGATACAACATATATACGCCATTAGTCGTGCATTTACGAATTCTATATTCCGTAGGCTAGCGGTAACCTTGGAAGGCCGTAGCCTAGTAACATTCCATAATGACAAGAGCATAAATAGGCTGTCTCAGTATTACAGTGTTATAGTCAGTTAGTTTAGTCTAATTTATCCATGAGTTGAAAGCCTATACTACTAGCTATTTCGTATTCCCCCATTTTGGGCAGGGGATCGTACGTTCATCGAATCACCTGACTTGATTTTCTTCTATTTTCGCTGTCGAATGACGGGGGTGGGTGTTACGGAACATCATGTGTTAAATCTGCCGTGCGTTGCTCCGGTTATAACGTGACAGTGACTCATTCCTCCGCCAGCTGCCGGACCTCCTGCGTGCATCGTCATCCCATCGACGCGTGGATGCGGATTCTCTATTCACTGAGTCATACAGCAGAAGGGGACGAACACACACGCGATACTATATATATACGCTTATCGGCGCGGTATAGAGTGTAAGATGTAGTGCTGATGCTGTTATTACAATGCATGGTGTTCGCCGTCAGCCAAGACGCTAGAAAGTTTCAGACTTCAGCGTCTGACGGCTTCGCGGGGCGGTTAGCAACCGCGTCTCGATGATGACTCCCGTTTGAGATATGGGCCACGCGATGCTCGTAGTCTGTGTTGGTCAGCCGCGAAGCTAAAATCGGGGCGATGCGTCATCTAGTGCGAACTCGTGCAAGCCTTCACGAAAGGCATGTATGCGTGCAGATATACGAACCGCAAAAATGCGCGGCGCAGACACATGCGACTATTCGCGGAATGGTTCGTATATGATTACACAAGAAATAAACACGGAATGCCTGAGCGCTGACGCAGCAACACTTGGATTTCACCTCTCTGACTGGGATGCGGCGAAAAACGTAAATAAGCATATTTAGCAAGGAGCTACTAGTCGATGACGAGTGGAAATTTAGATTTTGCTTATTTGGTTTCATCGAGCACTCTTAGAAAATGATAACCGAATGTGATTCTAAGACAAGTAAAGTGGCGTAGGATTGCACGTCCCAGTGAAGACATTGATGCAAATGATGCAATATTCGTCAGTATATGACATATACGTATATAAATGATATGCATAATTCCAGACAAAATTTATAGCAACCACGGTGCTTCCAATTTTCCAGCGTGAATCCGTGTGTGTGTGTGTGTGTGTGTGTGTGTGTGTGTGTGTGTGTGTGTGTGTGTGTGTGTGTGTGTGTGTGTGTGTGTGTGTGTGTGTGTGTGAGTGTGTGTGTGTGTGTGTGTGCTAGCGCGCGCGTGCGTACGTGTGTATACATGCATGCATGCGTCCGTGCGTGTGTGTGTGTGTGTGTGTGTGTGTGTGTGTGTGTGTGTGTGTGTGTGTGTGTGTGTGTGTGTGTGTGTGTGTGTGTGTGTGTGTGTGCGTGCGTACGTGTGTGCGTATACATGCGTGCATGCATGCGTCCGTGCGCGCGCGCGTGTGTGTGTGCGTGCGTGCGTACGTGTGTGTGTGTGTAGCAGCTTTACAATCCGTATATTCAGGAAACAATTTCTCGAATCTGTCTATATTTTTATCACGGGCATTAATTATCCTCACTTTCATTCACGGCCTGTGTATATTGGACACAAATCTGCGCTATTCCCACGCGCATACCTATGCGTGGCGCACAGAGAATGTCAAAAGCATATATCATGCGCTTGGCGGAGTTCTGTTATTCATTTATTGAAGTTTGAATGGAAAGTCACTATACCGCCTCATCGACGCACACGTTTGCGTCGACTTCTGAAAATAGCAGATTCGAAAACAGAGCTCTGATTTCGCTCTGAGTACATATACAGCGAGATATACAGCACAGAACAGCTCGATAACAGCATATATATATAGCAAGAGCTTATAATAGAGATTATGAGCTATTGATATATATATATATATATATATATATATATAAGCCGTGTGTGCGCACGTGCACGCGTGCGGGCTTTTGACGCATGCATCATTTGACTGAGTAAAATTACAAACGTGTGCGCCGGGCTTAAGTTAGTGCGCGCGTATCGGTTTGTGCTTACCGGAAGAAGCGACGAAAGTCTCGTGACGTCGCATGTCATCGCCAACGGCGACAGTGTGCTACGGGACCTCTCCGATGCGCCACGTCTGGCGCGCGGGGAGCCGCTGGGCCTCGACAGCGTCATGTCGCCGGCGCCGCGGAGAGCCGGCGAGCGTCTCAGCATGCTGCCGATGATCGTCCTGCCGTGCTCGCCGCCCGCCTCGGCTGCGATAGGCACCACCTCGGGCGAGCTGGCCGAGCTACAGCCGGGCGACGACGACGACGCCGGATTGTCGGCCGTACTGATGCCGGACTGCGTGCCAAACGACCTCATTATGTCGGCGTCGTTGACGCCGACGGCGGTGTGCGCATAAGTCGACATATCTCTCTCACATAGTAGTGGTATATACGTTTATGCGGCTAGTGTTCTCCTCGACCGGGGCGATTCGAGTGTAGTCTCACACAGAACGCTGCGATTATCGTAGTAATGACATGTGTCGTATTTCAGCACGTGTATAGCTTACATCGAAATAAAATCCCTGTAAACAGCTCGCGGCTTCGTCGCCTCTCTCACGCTATTAGTGTGCACGTATAGAAACGTTAGCAACGTTTTCTACTAGCGCTCAGTCGGACCGCCTGTCTGCACGCACGCGCACCGGTAGCAAATGTGGCACACGTCCGCGTAATCAGCAGTTAGGCAGCGCCAGCTGCTGACTCATATGCTCACGCCCCCTTATTGGGGTTGTGGGGAATTCCGCTGACGCGCGAGTGCACGAGTCTCACACAGCAAGTAGTTTATGTCTCGGCTGTTTTACGTGTACTGCGCAGGCGCAGACTTAACGCGTGCCCCCCCCCCCAGTCACACACATGCTGACACCGAGAGAGAGAGAGAGAGAGAGAGAGAAAGAGAGAGAGAGAGACGGAAAATAGACGAAACCGCACATACACGCGCACGCACGCACGCACGCACACGCACCTGTACACGCGAACACACGCAAGCACACACACATACATACACTCGCACACGTGCGCAGTCCCGTTTTCGCTCGTCATGAACACCATCTGTGAAGTTGTGAACTACGTATGCTATCGTCCCATTTCATTCGTCAGCATTTATACAGCATCCACATATTGTATAAGCCGTATTTTTCGCGTACAGATATTTTCGCGAATTCGTTCTTGACGGACAATTTCGCGAGTGGTTAATTTTGCGGTCGGTGAATTATGTATTATTCGGTATTATTCGATACGAATGATTCACGTGTTGTTATTTTCGCGGTCGGGGACGCGTTCGCGAAATTCGCGAAAATTAAACCACCGCGAAATATACAGCTTAAATTTTACAGTATCCATGCAGTAACTCGGCGCTATCCTCCCGTAAAATATCAACTCGCGATGGCTCTCAGGTATAGAGGCAGACAGACAGACAATCGATGTGTCCGTTCTAATGTCAACGTAAATTCCCCGTAGCATCACCACCACACGCACGTACCACGCAGGCTGGGAGACGTACGGGGGTTTCCGGCGCTTGCAAAGTACCTGAGAAATTTTGTTCCGCGTTTATATATAAGTAGTCACCGCGATAAACGAGAAATGTAATAGAGTGAATCACGACGTACGGAGTGGCATCCGATGGTAAATTTCGTAATCATATGCACTCACACGAACTTGTAAGATTCTGAGATTTATCGAGACAGTTAATTAGATGTTTGCTTAGAGGTCATCTGAGCGAGAACATAATAATCAATAGCTGTTAATTATGCCCCACTATGGCTAATCGCTAAATAGCCGCCTCCGGCGGCCATATTCGCTCGTTACGCTGATGAGACTACGATGATTGCTCTAAATCCCGGCCCGATTCATAGTAATCTTTTAGTAAAATATTGACTTGATACGAAGACAATAATACAATGATATCCTGTTACTAACATAAAATTTTTTGTCTATGTATATTCATTTCTATATAAAACACTTTGTACACACCTTCTAATCCATTGTTTTTCTCTTTTCAAATTAAGGCTAATATAATATACGGAACCCGCTTAATACTTGTTTTTTTGTTTGACCCGTCAGTTTCGTACTAACGGGGTGCGACTGTAGTAATGAATTGTAGTAATTGAATGAGGAGTTTAGGCTTTGCAGTAATTGTGTCTATTTGTGAACAATTTAACGCTACTAAAGTTCTTAATTATACATATAACCTTATATAAAATACTTTGTACACACCTTGTGATCCATAATTTTTTCTTTGTTAATTCGGGGCTAATATATGTTGAAGTGGTTAATACGAAACCCGCTTAATACAATTATGTTTCTTTGGCCCGTCAGTTTTCTACTAATGGGGTTTGACTGTAGTAATGATTCTTGGAAATATGTATAGGCAAACGCTTCGCAGTAATACTAATAGTTTATATCCTCCGCACGTAGTGTAGCGGAACGTATTGTTTTCGCGCCGTTTGTGTGTTTGTTTGTGTGTGTGTGTGTGTGTGTGTGCGTGTGTGTGTGTCTGTCTGTCTGCTCGATATTTTTGCAACCGTTAGAGGTAGAAACTTCAAACTTGGTCCAGAGGTGGACCTTAGAGGTGGAACCCTATTGATTTTGAGTGCCTTTCACCCAAGGTCAAGCGTCCCAGGTTCACATTTGATGAATGGATAGATAGATATAGATAGATAGATAGATAGATAGATAGATAGATAGATAGATAGATAGATAGAAAGATAGATAGATAGATAGGTAGATAGATATAGATAGATAGATAGATAGATAGATAGATAGATAGATAGATAGATAGATAGAAAAATATATAGGGCAATTGATAGATAGATATGCGCTGAGTGCTAGCGTGCAGGTGGGGGAGGACTTGATTCCACAGCTAGCGCGTGTGCACTGGCGAATCCACTGCAAGGTTACGTGACAGACTACTGTATCCCTTAGCCTGTGGTTGCGTGTTTGTAAGTCTACAGCCAGCGCACCTAGCGGAAGTGAACTGAATCGTGCATGTTTTCCAGGGAGATTTTCCATTCGATTTTCTAAATATGTTTTTTTTTAACATATAACCCAATAAATAACAAAAAGGAAAGTGTTAGAATTGAACCTGATGCGTAGGAATGAAGCACGAAATTTTTCAGCCTGATTCGTGCACGCGCCTAGAAGTTATGCAGGAACAAACAGAACGACACTACTCAAATTATTATATAGATACAACACTGAATGGTGCTACCATCTGTTAACAAACGTGTACCAAGCAACAGTTCAGGATTTCTGCCAAAAAGTAGAATGAGCAGGGACCGTTATATTTGGGACACTTGTTAGACCATTTTAATGATCTGGAAAACAAGAAATACCAGATAAATTTGTCGTGATTCGAGAATAGAAGTCAACCGGGACGCGGGAATGACGAATTAAATTGCTATTTTTATTCACCTGTAACTCGAAAATTGAATATTTTACCTGGGAAACTTGGAATGTCCACACTAGAATGTTAATTCACATTTGAAGTTCACATCAGCCCTATTGTTCAACTGAACGCCTTTCAGGCGTATACTCCACAATGTGTTATATGTTAGCCAGTCAGAGACTGGCTGATGTACATTGATGTTGATATAGTCTGGATATAGCGCTAATCGCAACAAAATTAATAAAACAAATATTTGGCGGACCCAACTGCGATCAAATTATTATATGTTCATTTTAAAAATAAAAGCAGGAAACAAGAAATACTACTGCAGTAATTGCGGTCATTGTGTAGTCAGTGAATTGACTACTATAATAAAGACATTAACTGTATAATGCAATATGCAAGGGAATGAAATATTAAGAGTACACGAAGTAGTACAAAGATTATATACTTTGGTAGTAAATAAAATGTTAGTTTATTTATCATAATTTTATTATTGATATGTTCCAAGATCATCATGGTAAAGCTCGATTACGGTGATGCTACGTTGCTGTCGCGAAATAAGTGGACAGGCCACAAAAGGTGACGCTGTGTGCTAGGTCAGGAATCATTGTTTGGGCTGCCACTGCCTAAGTGAAGGATGAGCAATCATAGACATCTGCTATATGTACAGATATAGCTACCTTTATAGCGATCTATATAGTGTATGTGTAGATATCTACAGGGAAGTCACAATGCCCCGTGAGAGGTTAATACTCGCAGGGGTTAATAATCCCGTCCACCCCTGCGAGACGAAATCCTCGACACAGAGGGCCTACACCGCACGCACGCCGCTATGCACAAACAACAAGAATAAAGAGTTGTTTACAAGAAGTTACCGGTATATAAAGAGTTGTTATAAGATTTTAAAATATATTGTTCAGTAACGTTATATAAAGTTATATAAAGAGTTGCATGTTTATAAAAAAAAGAAGCTCTTTATTCTTGTTGTTTGTGCACAGCGGCGTGCGTGCGGTGTATACTCATGTGTTGTAGAGAAGCATATGAACGGCATTTACAGGAAGTTATCGGCAATAATAGGCGAAAGGGAGTAAAGAAACATTAAGACTTTGCTAGTAGGCCTAAATACATTTCGTGTTTATTTACCATAATTTTACAATTGAAACGTTCCAAGCGCCTGTGACTGCATGCGTTCGTGTCTGCATGCATGCGTGTGACGAGGAACACCGCGAAAGTCTGACGCGTAGTGACTACTGATGCCATATAGCGCCATCTAGTGATAGATGAAACCTTCCGTGTGCGGGTTTGAAGCAATGCCTGTAATGTGTATAGTAGATCAGGAATGACTTGTCTTCATTCACTTCTAATGGTATATCTGACTTCGTATGAGCGCTTGTTTTCTCGTGTTAAGTACGATATCTCGCCACAATACTTTGGCTTATAACTGGTGTGGCTTACCATCTGTCGTGAAGCCATATTCACAACACACGTACCACTACCTATTATATGTATATATAAACAGGAATACAACTCCTACTATCCTGCTAACCCAGACAGCATAACAAGTAGCACATATATTTGAACCGAAATCACACAACCCGAGTACGTTTATCTACATCGGTTACATAAAATACTGCGAGCAATCAATCGATAACAAGAAACATCAGACCATCATAATATGTTTAACCTTTTTTTTATTCGATATCATCTTTATGAAACAAGTATTCGTGTTCTGGACACAGTCGTGTCATATCTGACGTTAACATGGGGCGGAAACGAAGTCAAAACTATTAAAGGTACAAAAAGGTTGAGGTGCTACTGCACATCACCTGTAGATGAGACATTTCAGATCCAATGAAACGAATGAATATGCATATTCAATCATTATAAAATATTCATCAAAATATTATATCAATAGCATATAAACCCCTGGACTTTACGGGAATATAACCCCCAGAAACCCTATGCATGATTTATAAACTTTTGATATGATTTACCGCTACAGGAGCGCTTTTTACGCCATATAATCACACACAAATGACATACACAACTTCGGGTCATACACAAATGACAGAGCAAAGTTACATATAGAGAAGTCCACGTCAGACACTGCTTGTCTGGATCGTGGCACAGTGGAGAGCATCGTTTGATATTCGTCCATACAAAAACGGAACAATTACTAGGCTTCCTCATATTCATATTACAATCTGGTAATCTCTGTTGGTGTTGTCGCGTATACGGTTCATTCACACATTATTCCATTGAACTCTTCTCGAGGTCGCAATGTATAAAAATATCTGTTAGATTAATACCTAACACGTATTTACAGTTGCACTATTCCATCTCAATATGTACACCCATCTCTTCTTGAGATCGCAATGTATAAAACTAGAGTATTCACATTCGAGGTCGCACAAGGTCCTGCGCTATAATTATTACATATCCTTGTAAAATGCACAATAAAAAGAATAATTACCTTCCACGCACGCTGTTGCTACAGACACCATGGACTAATTGAGCCCAGGACAGGTCATCATCGTAGACGGAAAATGGTAATTCTCTTATTATTTGTATTACTGATAATGCGCATAGCAATCACTACAGTATAAATTATTACAAATTATACTCATGCAATCTAAAGCGGCACATGGCACAATCACATAACTGTTTTGCCTACATCATATATACCAAAATTCTTCGCATTCATACATTTTCAAGTAACGGCATAAAAATAATGAATTACTACTGAATATACAAGGTTAAAATCTGGCCTTTTCCTCACTAACCCCTGACTCGACCCTAACCCTGTAACCAACGTACAATGACTTTTCACCCTTATATCATCACGAACGTGAACACCGCAGGTATTTTACTTATTGCGATACCATGTACAGTAGACGCGCATATGTAACGCAATTGCACCTAGCACCTAACACCTAGCACCTAGCTATTTCACCTGAACAATCATCATTCAAATGAAATTAGGCCCATGCATCACAGTCGTTTTAATGTAAAACGCAATTATTTACAGTGTTCCAAGTCAATATGTACATCCATCCCTTCTAGAGATCGGAATGCATAAATAGATAACAATGCGGAAATAACTATACGCAACGGTACCAGTAGCTATCACAGTGTAATGTTAACAAGCAAGCAAACAAGCAAACAAGCAAACAATGAAATATGAAAAGATACAAACACGACGAACATTGACCGAACGTTTATTCGTTCGTCTCCCTTAATTGTCTTCTATAGCCCCCTTCCCGAAAATAAACTGCGCCTGTGGTTGCGCAGCTTGCTTCTTTAAGCAAATTAGTTTTTGCTACTAGTGGCAAGTTGCCATCAACTTATTATATCGACTGTGCGAATTAACTTATCATCGTTTTGTCAGTGCAAAGAGACGTACCACGCTTTCTGTTCACCGCGTAGCAGTGGGTAACCCCAAATCGGGAGAGAGAAGCAGCCTAGGTTGTGCATTATTCTCTTTAAGAATCCGCAAAACGGTCTCAAGCGCTACTGTTATATTACGACTCGCTTAACTATCCGTCCCTTCTACGTACGGACCTCTATTGACGTCATTTGATGGCGTATGCGCTTAACGTTCACAGAATTGGGGGTGCTACACATTCTTGTAAAGAGTACTCTGAACAGGTAACTCAAAGAATTGCTACAGTCAAAACGTGTCTATTGTCAATGCTAGATGTTAATAGCAGAGCCACTGGATACATACCAACAAACTATCCAAAAGGTAAATAAATACCATCTACATACCATATAGATACAGTCCATGTTCTGTGGCTAAATTATCTAAACCCGTTGCCATACTGCATACACCTGATCACAGTTATGTGTGGCATGCAGTGCTATAAATTAAACGTGTAGCAACGAAGTGGCATTTTTAGATAGCTTTACGGATGACCTGGACACCTATCAACAATGTATGTATCAGAGAGCATTACTCTTTTGAGAATACACGTTTCCATAGATCAACTTTTGGGACGGAAAACATTCGAGATCTATGACAGCTATGAACGTCGTAAATAGAGCAGCCAAAAAGGTTCCCCGCTGTTTTCATGATGATAGAATGTAATTATTATAGCAGTTATGTTCCTGCTGCATTGACAGACAATTTCCCACCATACAGAGCCATGACGAACATTATGGTACCCCCAGTGAGGATGCCCAAGTTCTGCAGACAGAACACAAAGAATCCATTTCCTTCCTCTATCGCTTCTTCCAGGTCTGCTGTCATTTCCGGCATCTGTAAGCCAAATCAGAAACTAAATGATATACGTTTGTTCAAAGATGAGTAATCAGCTACCATAAGTGTCCCACACCTTTTATATCACTTTCGAGCAAGATATACTATCTTCTTGTGTATAAACGTCGTTGCATGCCACTGAATAAAATGAAAGTGTCAATGACACTGTAGCTCACCTTGGGTGTGATAGAAGAGGGAGGGGGGATATATAAAGCAAGAGTATATATGGGAGAACTCCCATTATATAGCATATCTCCCATTATATACTCTTGATAATGATATATGCATAGGTTTTGATGCGAAAATTAATGTTTCAGATCTGAGTCTGAAATCTTGACGAGAGATGGCGCTACGCCTAAATGATTGCCATTTTGGTTTTCGAATATCGCGCAAATAAAAACAATAAAATATTCCAGTCAAATTACTGTAACGAAGAATCTAAAACACAATATTTCACGTATATAGGTATGATTGTAGAGTTGTTTTCTCCACCAGCTTCTCCCCCTCCTCCTTCTCCACCAGCTTCTCCCCTCCTGCTTTTCCACCAGCTTCTCCTCTTCCTCATTCTTCACTAGCTTCTCCCTACTCCACCTACTAGTATTACTCTAAACTTCCTCCTCCCTCCCCCTCCCCCTCCCTACACTGCTCCTTCGCTACCCTGTACTCAGCCCTGTACCAGAACTTGGTATTTAGTGTGCACAACCTATCGTAACACAAAGACGAGCTGTCATTGGTCGGGTCGGGCGGGGCGGGGCTATCTCAGATATTTCACACTCGTCTGATATTTCGCGCGACACCGGCACTGATCTCTATAATATAATCGATTATATTATAGAGATCAGTGGACACCGGGCGCGGCGTAGAGGGACGGTCCCGCAACGTGGCAGCACTAGTGTTAGGATTAGGGTTAGGATCAGGGTTAGGGTTAGGGTTAGGGTTAGGGTTAGGGTTAGCGTTTTTGCATCATGATATCTGTCCCCACACCATAGATTAATTTTTCTGGATGACACCCCTATAGATAGATCCGATCAAGAGTGGATAATAGAGACCACTCTCTATTATCCACTCTTGATCCGATATATAGATATTTAGTGTTAGGGTTAGTGTTGGAGTTAGTGTTATGGTTACTGTTAAGTTTTGAAGTATACGTCAAGTTCAACTGTATCACGTGACCGTCCCTCCACGCCCGGGAGATAGCAACACCCTTTGGCTAGGGGGTGGCCGTCTCGCAACCGTACTTGCTCACGCTACAGCAGTCAGCAGGTCTGCAGAGCGATCTACTATAGTTCTTCGAATAGGTTCGCAAACATGATATTTCGTGTGCGATACGTCTAAAATTGGTTGCATCTTGTTTGTATATATATGGTGTGACGTAGGAGACGAACTACGCGTTCTGGCGTAAACTTTGGCGATTACTTTGGCGCCAGATAGCGGCGCGTTACGGCAGACAGCTCGGACGGGAGTCTAGCCTCATGAGTAATGACCTTCCTGGTACTATCTAATATGCCGGACCGTACCTCGCCTACTCCACTAACGAGTCTAGAGAGTCGCCTACGCCTACTCCCTAACCCTAACCCTAAGTCCCTAACCATATCAAATAGTTACCAGGGTACGTTCCGGCAGTACCCTGGGGGACATAGACCCTCTCAGCTAAAGTGTCCATAACAGATGGAGGACAACCCTATGAGCAGCACTTTGGGTGTTTCCTTTGAATAGCAGCTATATAGTAAAACGACCTCTACAGAAAGAATACCTGTCTATAAAGGACACTTTTCGGTTTCCCTTAAATAACCCTTATATACCATGAGTTTGAATGTATATTAGACATGCACAATTCTGATAAAATTACCCCCTAGAAAGTCAAGTGGAGCTAACTGGACAAAATGCCAGATGCGAGTTTCATTACTAATAACAAGATACTAATTTGTGCCAGTGTTAAAAGTCTGTTATGTAAGGTTGTACAAATGTCAAGCGAGCATACCTAGTTCGTGAGGAAACTCTTCGCAGAAGACAGCCAGTGTTATGCTAATGCCGACCCATATACTATCGGAGAACGCTGCACCGATTGACAGCCCATCGACAATCTTGTGCATACTATCACCAAACATGATCATCCAAGCAACAGTAGCAATCGTTTGATCTTCGTCTCCAAATGGGATATGCTCATGACCATGTTTTTTCTGTAAAAAATACAAGAATCCCCTTTAAAAGTGTGACAATTTTATATTGTGCACCTAGTTAAGATTAATAGTTTTCAGAGTTTCAAGTTTAACTATTCACTTAAATTTGACTTCAGCTAAAAAATAAGCTAAGAAAGCTAAGATATCTTGTTTGCTCAAATGAATCATGGCCAGTTGCCGAGCCAAGAGAGTAATTAAATTAAAGTGTCAATGACACTATAGCTCACCTTGGGTGTGATAGAAGAGGGAGATGATATTTAAAATTTGGCAAGTGTTTCATTTATGACAGACCGAGATGTGATCAAATGTCCTTATATTCCCTGTATTATACTAATCGAAATTTTACTGTTTTGTTTCAGGATTAGTTTTGATGCGAAAATAAATGTCAGTCTGAAATCTGGGCGAGAGATGGCGCTACGCCTAAATGATCGCTATTTTGGTTTTCGATTATCGCGCAAATAAAAGCAATAAAATATTCTAGTCAAATTACTGTAACGATGAATCTAAAAGTAAAACACAATATTACATGTAGTATGATTAGGTAGGTAGGTAGGTAGGTAGGTAGGTAAATTTAACAAAATCGAATGAATCTAGATGGCCATTTTCATTTTTGCCAAAAAGTGGGCGTGGCTCGACAGTAGGTCAACTGGCGTGCTCAAAAATAGGATGTTCAAATCTCTCCCATAGGAGTAACAACTGTATGCAATTTGAAACATTTGTTTCAGGTCAAACGGTTCTCAAGTTATCGTTGACCATAGCCAAATGTTGACGACAGACAGACGGACGGACGGACGGACGGACGGACGTACGACAGACGTACGTACGACGGACAATGCCCCATGGCAATAGCTCATCTTGACGTTGTCAAGGTGAGCTAAAAATTGACTAAAGCATCTTTTTGAAGCTTCATTCCTATAAGTTGTATGCACTCCTACCTGTGCTTGGTCTAATGGCATGGCTATGCTGTGATTGTACATAGGGTCCAATTCTTCTTCAGTTGGATTCATGGCACTCAATCTTTCCGTAGTAGAAGAGGAATCATCTCCTTGAAGTAGCGCACGCAATTTTCGCGCCGTGCGTTTCTTCTGTGATGTAAAATCAAATATGACAGGATACATGATAAATATATATCAAAGATTTGATTTTCTCTTATCATCACATATGATCACAAATCAATGAATCGTGTTTATTATTATGAGCATAGACATTGCTGAAATATCTATGCAATAGAGCATTCTGTGGAACAGATAATTCTGAGAGGATCAACCACATATACCCAGCACCACTGACAAAAGCTAAATTGATGCATTGAAGGGTGGGCCTATAGAAATATTTTAATTCTTTTGCAATAGAGATGTCTAAACGAAGTTTAAAGGATGCATCTCTATGCTTATAGTTGACTGCCTATACAGTATATGCACCTAAATAAATTACAATTGGTTTAAACACTTGGGTAAGCACTAGAAGTGCATCCAGAATTCCTATTGCGAGGCTTTTAGAGATGCCGGTATGTACACATAGTCGAAATTATAAGAAAGGACACCTACGTTAAACTGTAAGTTTATATTGCATACAATCATATCTCTAGTACCTGACCGAGGTGATGGAAATTGCTTAATTCATTAAGAAAATACCTGCTTGACTTTCATGTGGAACTTCATGATGCGGTCAGTCAGGAAGAACAAATAGATACCACAGGCCACCAGCAACATTTTCCAAAGGTAAGCCTGTGACTCATCTTTGAATAGTTCCAATGCCTACAAGACAAGTAGAACATGCTTTAAAACATCAACTTAGCTGGGTTTCAACCCCAGGGGTGAGGGTACAGACTGGATTCTACTTTCAGTGATCATAACAGATAAGGATAATAGCATAAGAGTATGCACAATGATATTATGATTCTCTCATGATTACAAGCCTTTCTACGAATGAACCCGTTTGTGTATAGCTCATGTTAGATTGCTTTAGCTGATCTAATTCTTGGCAGAATATAGGTGCTTGCTACATTCAATAATGCAACAATGCAAATAGATATTACTAGCCTTTGAATTTGAAACTAGCTTAACTAGGCAGCCAATGTTGGGTTGGCTGTAGTACAGCTAGACACTGTTCACGCGCTTCGGCTGTCACTTATGACCTCAGATTCATCGATTCTCAGATGATTTTCAGATTGATCACGATTCGAGATTAATGTGATAAAATGGAGTATGCTTATGTAGTGCAGAAATTTTAACTTGTCCCTCCCAGCACAAAGCATTACGAGTATAATTTCAGTACCGGGGCTTAATTAATTGTTATACACCCCGTACAGACTGCAAATTTGATATGGTATTAAACTGGTGCAGGTCAGGCGCGCGCCAAATTTTTGCAGTGTGTACACACTATCCTGCTCCAAATACGCGCTGGCCCACACCAATTTGGTCCCGCAAATAAAGGCGGGCCAGGCCCGGGATAAGTTATTCTGCACAAATCTGTGTCTGTATGCAACACACGGGTCAGATCCGGTGCTAAATCGCAATACGCATTCGCATACGCTTATTTTAGTCACATAATTGTACAATTGCTGTCCGCGGGATGACTTGGCGAGCTGAACTAAGAACTGATGATTCATTTAATCAGGAGTCTATAGACTCCTGATTTAATGTAGGATCAAATTTGCAGTCTGTACAGTGTACACTACGACTTGGTGCGCTCCTAAAAAATCGCAGGTTCAAGGTAGGTTCAAATTGTAGGTTCAAATTTTGCAGTCTGTGCTGGGTAATATAGTGCCCATCTTTGATTAGTAGAAATTAATGTTGATGTAAGTTTCTGCTTATATTTATCTGCTATAATAGCCTTAGGTAAGAAAATGAACAGAAACTGATCGAACCATTGCTATACCATTTAAAAGTAAATGCAAGTTGATCGCACTTTACTGCACTTTTACCAAGATCTTCTGTTATCAACAAAGCGCCCAGAAGAAACTCTTTCATGATTGATAACCAGAGCCCACAATGACCATGATTATTGATATAGCTATTTGCACATGACCAGTTTTTGTGACTATTTTTTTCACATGACTAAAGCACTATATATGATTTTTTGATAGTGCAACCAAAGCATGAACCTCAGGACCAGGATAACTCACTGTGCATTTGTGTGTGTGTGTGTGTGTGTGTGTGTGTGTGTGTGTGTGTGTGTGTGTGTGTGTGTGTGTGTTTTTTGATAGTGCAACCAAAACATGAACCTCAGAACCAGGATAACTCACTGCGCGTGTGTGTGTGTTTTTTGATAGTGCAACCAAAACATGAACCTCAGAACCAGGATAACTCACTGCGCGTGTGTGTGTGTTTTTTGATAGTGCAACCAAAACATGAACCTCAGAACCAGGATAACTCACTGTGCGTGTGTGTGTGTGTATTTTGTATAGGATTTATTATGTTTGTAGATTTACCTGTGGAATGAGATTGAACACTGAATTTCCGCACAGACTTCCAACTCCCAAGGAGACGAAAAACACGAGAATCTTCCTGTAGAAATCTTTGCTCATTATGGGCAGAAGTAGCATGCCTGTCACTGAGCAAGATGTGATGATGACGAGCGAAAGTATGCCATATCCCCATACTGCAACAGTATATGTACATAATTAATACAGACATACACGCAGGGCTCCCTCTGCATGTTCTAAAGTTTGAGCCAAGACTTGAGCCACCAAAGTTAGTTTTTAGCCACCAATGAAAACTATAACCACTTTTCACTTTATTGCATGTATGCGCTAAGCAAGGCATGAAGTAAGGTATGAAGGCTAGGTGATGGGTACAGGAAAAGAGATGTAAGAAAACATTTTACAACACGAATTTGACGATTTCATTATTCAATCGTAATTTTGTGAGCAGTCAAATCATTCACCAATTGTATTCGCCACTTCGTGTAATAAAATCGCCACTGTTATTTATGTGTGTGTGTGCGAGCACGCATGTGGCTGTGCATGTGGGTATGCGTGCATGTGCTTGTGAGCGTGTACATGTGCGTGTGTGCATACATGTGTGTCTGTACGTGCATGTGTATGTTTGGGTGAGCTCATGCCTGCTCTGTGTTTGCATGAAATAAATCTTGTATATACATACCTTCTGACTGAGTAGGTTTCAAATAGCTGGTAGTTATATTCCACTCATTCTCCTTCTCCACAAGCACATTGCAAGACTTTGATGCTTCGTCTCGTATCACATCTGGGCACAAAGCTACCACTTGCTCATCTTTGGCAATACCGTTTTCCCACAGCTGAACGAGATTACGGCTAGAGAGGCACTAAAGGAATAGGAACAACTTTTACAAAAACATATTAGAACAAGAGACCAGAACTTTTATTCTGCTGGAATATATTTCACAGCTTTTGTCTGTGAAGATGAGTATATAGAGTTCAAGAGTCCAGATCGAGGCATCATGGGTTCAGTACCACATTATGTGACCGATAATTTCACAGGTATGAAATTAACACCAGCTAGCAATGAATAACAGAAAAACACATGAATAACAATAACACCACATAACCTCATAAATATTAGGTTATAAAATTATAAAAATGTAACCGCTGACGTATTCGTACAGAAAATGCAGGTACTAAAACAAGAAAAACAATAATCACGCAAGGATACTAAAATTACGAGTCGTAATAAAATTAGAGTTGATGATTCGTATCAGTCCATGCAGGTAATTGTTCTCTGTGTGTGTGGGTTGGTGAAGGGGGGGGGCATCAGCGGCACATCGCACATCCACAGGATGGACCTGACCACGACCTTGAAGGTTGAAGGTTGTGAGGACTGTATAGCCTGACGGATCAATGTGGGGTAGGTTGTTCCATAGCCAGGCTCCGTGGTACCGAAAGGATTTCTTGCCATATATTATTGAATTATAGTCAGGAAGCACAAGTTTTTACTTCGGAGATTGTAGGCACAGGAACTTGGGACAGTGTCAGTAAAAACTAAAAATAATATGAACGCACATTCACAAATAAGCCCTACTAGTACTACCGTACCTCTCAATTACAGTTCCACTGTTGCGTCACTGTATATCAACTTTCCTTCATGAAAACCTA